GTGGGCCGCGCCGAGGCACCGTCACCTGCCGCAGCAGCGGCCGCTGGCCCAGCCCGCTCGCCCCCAGGCTTCCTGCTTGGCCCGGACTGAGTCTGTTCCTGCCTGGACCCAGCCGGTCCGCGTCGCTCATGTTTGTTTAGGCAGCAAACCCTCAGGTGTAGAGATGAAGTTCCAAACTGAGATCGTTGAGATCTTGGAATAGAACTTGGGGTGTGGTTTTAGCTTCTTTGTGGCCATAACTAAGAGCTTATGTTTTGTAACCCGGAACCTGTGTTTTGTGTAGTGATAAAACAAGGCTGAAGCTTTTGTCTTAAAGTTTAGGAGTGAGAATTACTTAAAAGCTCATTAAGTAATTCTTAATTAAGATGATATGTAGGTGGTTCGTATAATCAGGCCCGACTCTCGTTGGCTGAGCCTGAATTGTAATTTCTATTTGTTCCCCCCAATTCTCTCAATATTGATTTCAAAACACTGTGAAGGTTGATTTCAAAAAGAAAGCTCTGTCTTCTAAGATACTACATTCCCACTTTGGGTATTTTAGTTTGAAGGAATAATGTTAGAAGGGACATAGGCTTTTCAGATGTCACTTTAAAATGACGCTTAGTAAATGTAAATAATTGGTCCTATCTGTATTGTGCAGGTTCTTGTTTTTCCTCTGTCAGAAAAGGAAAGTTGATCTCAATTGCATACATTTAAAACACTTTCCTATTTTGTATGCCTATTCTAGTTAAGCACGGTTTCTGATGTCAGTATCATAGACGGTTACCTTAAAAAAATCTTCCTGCAATGTTTGTGCCAGTGATTTAAAAAAACCCTTTCCTGGAAAAGTGAAACCTTTAGAGAACACTTTCATGGAGCAGTGCATAATTGGGCAAGCTTTGAAATACGATATTAATGTTTAATATTTAGGATATTTAATATTTGAGTTGAATGCTTATTGAGATTAAGGTGATAGTGATGACATTAGTAATGAAATAGTAGTAGTAGTTGTTAAAAAAACAGTAACACCTGGTATTCTGGTTTCACCTTGCATCAGAATTGAAGATCTGTTGAAAAACTTTAAAGACCGTAAAATTCGATGACCAAAATGGATATTCGGGGGGCCGTGGATGCTGCTGTTCCAACCAACATAATTGCTGCCAAGGCTGCAGAAGTCCGAGCGAACAAAGTGAACTGGCAGTCCTATCTTCAGTAAGTGCCGGCCTGCTATGAGTGATGGGGAGTCATGCGCCTTTGAATCAGAACTTTTCATGGTCATGCTCTTGTGAGAGAAGTACTGGAAAAATACTAATACGTGTGGAAGAAAGCACTTCCTCCTTAGACTGATGAGCTGTCATGGGGAGACAGCACAGGGTGGTGGGAACAGCTTGCAGCGCCAGGGGTGGGGGTAGGGCACTTTTGACCTTCTCCATCTGGAAGGTAAGTGGGAAACACAGGAAGAGTGTTCATGAGCCGTGGAGGGAGGAGGACAGGGGGCAGAGCCTGCCGGGCCCACTCAGGATGCCTTGGGGAACCGCGTGGGCACGGGTGGTGTTGCCGAGGGGCTCTGACAAGGAGGAAAAAGTGCTGAGTTTCAAGACCTGGGTTTGAACCCTGGTTCTTTTGTCTGCTAGTTTGGTGATCTTAGGCAGATCCCTCAACGTCTCAGGTTCATTAAAGTAAACGTGAAATGGGGATACGTATCTCACGGGATTGTTGCCGAAATAGTGTATTTTAAGCATTGGCACAGTTGTATACAAGCAGCAGTATGTTGAATACACTGAAAAAGTTTTAGTTCTTTCCCCCTCCTTGTGTGTATTAAGAGTTAGCATGGGTTGGGGGAGTGGGGAGGGCATAGCTCAGTGGTAGAGCGCATGCTTAGCATGCACAGGGTCCTGGGTTCAATCCCTAGTACCTCTGTTAGTTAATATTAAGAGTTAACATGATGTTTTGTATTTGTCTGTAAAGTAAATGTTCATTTATTCTTGACCATATTTTATCTTATTGACTTTACTTTTCATATTGGTTTATTTTGGTATCTTTATAACAGTGAGTTATTAAAGAAATTCAGCTAAGATTTGCCTACATATTTTGAAAAACAAATTGAGGGATCTTTAGTTTTACATTTAGCAATTTGCTTTGTCCTAAGAGGGATATGCAGTGTGCAAAAGTGATCGCATTTATTTCTGTTAATTTAGTTACTCATCAAACATTTATTGACCACCTGCTAAGTTTGAGGCATTTTTCCAGTCTTGGGAGCTTCAGCGGGAGAAACTCGTCTTCTAGTAGGGAAGTCAGGTATATAAACATTTACATTAGGATGTTAACCGGGGTAACAGAAGGGTGCAAGCATGGTTGGTGCACAGAGAGAGGACCGTGGATCCCACCTTCAGAACATGTTCCTGCAGGTGGTGTTCACAGGTAGGGGATTCATAGCATGCCCGGGCGGGGCGCCATAACACGTGTTTTGGAGGCAGGCAGTGGGGACACTGAGGCCGGAGAGGCAGCCGGTGCCAGCGGTGAAGGCCCCCAGTGCCACCGGGGGAGTTAGGGTTTGTTCCTGTGAGTCGGAGCTTTTCAGCCTGACATGCAAGCTGTGTCCATGGCTGACCTGAAGGAAGCACAGCACGTAAAACAGATGAAAACGGTGGATGAATGGAGGTGGGAGCGGACGTCGCAAAACCTTCTTTTGAGACCGTTTATCACCCTCTTCAGGGTTCCAAGGAGCACAGGGTTGTGTTTTTGTTCATGGTTGACGTAACAATGCAGCACGTACTTAATGTACGCGACTCGCTGGGTCTGGGGGTAAGTACGCACGCGGGAGACCAGCGCCGCAGTCTGTGCCGTAGACACGTCCCCCCGCAAAAGTGTTCTCCTGCTTTTTAAAAGTTTTGTGATAAGAACACCTAATATAAGATCTACCCTAACGGCAGATTTTTCAGTGCACATACAGGCCTGTTAGCTAGCGGCGCGGGGCCGCGCAGCAGCCGTGCAGGGGCGCTCTTCCCGCGTGACTGAGGCCCGCGCCCCCTGGCCACGCCCTCCTGACCACGCCCCCAGCCCCCGGGTGGCCGCCCCTCCACCCTCCGCGACTGCGGCTGCGGCTTTGCCCGGTGTAGGTTCCTCACGTGAGTTAGGTAGCGTTTGTTCCGGTGTCTGGCTTGTCTGGCTTAGTAGAACGTCCTCCAGGTTCATACATGTTGTTGTAAATGGCAGGATTTCCCTCTTTTTTAAAGACTGAGTAATACTCCATTCTTTGTAAATGCTTCGTTTTCTTTATCTGTTTATCCGTCCGCAGACACTTAGGTTGTTTCCATTCGTGGCTGTGAACGTGGGAGTGCAGCTGTCTCTTTGAGATCTTGATTTTAATTCCTTTGGGTATTGGCTAGACGTGGCGTTGCTGGATTGGGTGGTGGCTCTGTTTTTCAGTGTTTTGAGGGCCCTCCATACTGTTTTCCATAGTGGCTGTCCCAATTTACATTCCTACCCACAGTGCGGAGGGGTTCCCGCTTCTCCGTAACCTCACTTACACTCTTTTGTTTTCTGGTAACAGCCTGTGTGGTGATGTCTCACTGTGTCTCTGACTTGCATTTCCCTGAGGATCAGTGGTCTTGAGCCCGTTTTCCTGTGCCTGTTGGCCATTTGTTTGTCGTCTCTGGAAACTGTTCAGATCCTCTGTCCATTTTTAAATCAGCTTATTTTTTTTTTGTTGCTGAGTATGCGAGTTCTTTATTTTTGAAAATAACTCATTAGAGAGAGATTTTGCAAGTACTTTATCCTATTCTGGAGGGTGCCTTTGTGTTTTGTCTATCGGTGCTTTTGTCCTGCAGAGGCTCTCTAGTTCGATGTAGTCCCTCCCGCCTGTTGATTTTTGCTTTTGTTGCCTGTGCTTTTGGTTAATATCCAAGAAATCATTGCCAAGGCCATTGTCAAGAAGCTTTCTCACTATGTTTTCTAGGAGTTGGACAGTTTTATGTCTTAGTGTTTAAGTATTTAACCCATTTTGACTTGATTTTTATGTGTGGTCTAAGATAAGGGTTCAGTTCAATTCTTTTGTGTGTGGCTGTTCAGTTTTCCCAACACCATTTATTGAAGAGACTGTCCTGCCCCCATTGTGTGTTCTTGGCACCCTTGTTGAAGGTCAGGGGACTACCAGGGGTCTGTTTCTGGGCCCAAGGAGCACAGTTGCAGAAATGGGAAATGTCTGATGCTTCTATGCTGGCGTCAGATGATCAGATTTGCCTTTTGGTTGGACTGTTCTCCCGTCAGCGTAGGTGGTAGATTTGTGGATAACAGGCCTGGAGTTCAGAAGAGCATGTGGCAATTTTCAGGTTGTTGGAACGGACAGAATTGGGGAGATTTGAGAAACTCTTGGTGATCGATTTGATGTATGAGGCTGAAGAAGAATCTAGGATGACGCCTGGATTCTCACTCTAAGGGCCTGGATTGTGCTGAGGCCGTGGATTCCAGGGCAGGAGGAAGATGGATTTTCTGGTGTTTTCTCTGTTCATCTGTATCTGTGTGATTGCTTAAACCCTGGGAAATTAGGGTTTTGAGTTCTGTTCCCTAGTTTTAGTCCACAGTGTGTTTAGCCTAGAAGACAAGGAGTTTCACGTTTCTAAAGCCTGAGTATGTAGAACCTAACTAGAGTACTGTTGAAATTCGTTGTGAGGCTTGGGCGGGCCGGCAGGCGTTCTGTAGCATTGGCATTTGGAACATGTGTGGTCACGTGGAGATTTCTAATTGCTTTCTTTCCTGTTCCTCCCATTCCAAGGCCTCCATGCTCCCTAAGTCCCAGTCTCCCTTTTTTCCTATTTCTGTCTTTTATTCTGTGGTCTGGCTCATGGATTTCTTTGATAAAACCCATCTACTCTGTACGTCGACACACAGATGCTTGCCACATGTTAACTGTGTGTCTGCCGTTGAGCCGGTTGTCGTGGGGACACTGGTGGGTGTGAGATGTGCGCCCTCCCTTCCCCCAAAAGAGCTCACAGAGAGTTGGGGGCTGGACAGGACGCTGCGTTCTCAGGGGCCCTGACGTCGCACCGTGTTCTGACGGTAAACCCTGGGGAAGGATCGCCCAGCGCCGCCGGCCGGCACGCTTCCTCCCTGCCACGTCAGTGTGTGGTCAGTGCGCCCGTCCTGCGGGCCAGTTAGCTCAGGTCCAGGGAGGGTCGTGATCAGTGGGTGGTGCTGCTGAGCTTGGGACGCAGGTCCAGGGCCCGGCCTGTTACCCTCGCACAGCCGGGCAGAGAGGGGAGGGCCTGGGTGTCTGTCGCTGGCGCACTGCGGCTCTTCCGCTCCTACTGAAAAAATCAACTAATTCTTACTTTCTAGGGGGCAGATGATTTCCTCCGAAGACTGTGAATTCATTCAAAGATTTGAAATGAAGAGAAGTCCCGAGGAGAAGCAGGAGATGCTTCAGACTGAAGGCAGTCAGGTGATCGGCAAAGATACTGTATCTGAACACTCCCCTGTGCCATTAAAAGTTCCAGGAGTTTTCTCCAGGGCTCTGTGTTATTCCATTGTAGGCAGATGTAATTTAACTAAAAATTCTTTTTAATTGGAAGGCATTTGAGTCATTTCTAGTTTTCTTTATTAATTTTGGAAAACATGTTATAATGAGTATGTTAAGTTCCTCCATCCTTTCCTGCATTTTTGAAAAAAAGAATTTCAAATTAAAATAGATTCTGAGCATGAAAATTACTGTCTCAAAGTATCTGATACTGTCAAAGGTGCTTAACTTTTTTTTTTTAAGAAAATTTTTTCTCCTTTGTATTCTCAGTGGAATAATGTGCAGTTCCCCGGTCCATCAGGTCTTCTGTGAATTCTGGAGGGATCATGACGTAACCTGCCAGCTGGAGGGCAGAGCTGCTCAGGGCCTCCTGCTTCCAGTGCCCGCGCCCCACTCCTGTGGCGTTGCGTGGTGTCCTGCTTCCCAGTAACGCCAGGTGGAGGGCGGAGCCTGGTAGTGGGGTGCACGTTGAGTGTGCACAGGGCCTGGGCTCAACCTCCAGTACCTCCACTTAAAAAAAAAATATATATATATATATATATAAATAAACCTAATTACCTCCAACCGCTAAAAAAGTAAATAAAACCTAGTAAACACCAAAAAAACACACCCCAACCCCCCCAAACCCTCCAACTAAACCAATGATAGTATTAGATAGTCTGCATAATTAAATCTTTTTGTTATCGTCAGTAATCAAGACTTGACAGTGGCTAGGTCTATTTAAAAATGGTTAACATTTTGACATTTATTACTAGAAATGATAAAAAAAAATCTGATGCAAGTCATGGTCCATCCTTACATCATCACGATATTTGTAAAAGGTGTGCATTTTCTGTAATTGCCTGTTTTTCCTGAAATTCCATTAAAATGTGTCTGTTTTTGACAACAGTGATTAATGTTCGTTTCATCTTTCCTAGTGTGCGAAAACGTTTATCAATCTGATGACGCACATCTCCAAAGAGCAGACAGTCCAGTACATCCTAACTATGGTTGATGATATGCTGCAGGTGGGTGTGTCGTCCTCTTGATGCGTCTGTGACCTCGTCTTTCTGTGTTCTCCCAGTCAGAACATCCCTGCAGGGGTTCGCTTGGAGCCCTGGTTCTCTTCCAGAGTGTGATACTGTATTTTCCTTCACTGTGTGAGCTGTAATTTGCTAAGCGTGGTAAAGATGGAAGTGCCCCTCCGCAGGCTGGCTTTGCCGTTTGCAGATGTCAGGGAGTCAGTCTGTTGTTTTTCCGCATCACCGCCACCTTCTGCGCTGAACACCAGCAATGCTCGGTGAATCCCTCGACATGTCCCTGATGCTCTGAGTACTTACCGGCGGTGTGACTCCCTCTCTTCAGTATTTTGTAATTAGAAAGAAGGGAGATAATAACCTCATGCAAGTGGCAAGTATGTTCTCCTGTGGTTGGGAGGAGACTTCATGGTAAACTCTGAGAAGTGGGATTTCTGGGTGAAAGGGGATCTGCACCTGCAGTAAAGGGGTTACCACGTGTTCCGTCTTGTGTTGCCACCAGCGTGTGAGAGGGCCTCTTTCCCTGCCACTTCGCCGGCGGAAAGTGTTGTCAGGCTGTTACATTTTCCCCAGTGAAGACGGTATCTGAAACTGGACATCTTCAAATGCATAGTTTTGGTTGTTCTTGGTGACCTGTGTTTATGAAAGATCTGTGGAGAGATTTAGGCTTAGGTAGCCAACATTGTCCTCAGCTACTGATTAAATGTATTTTAACAGTTGATTTTATTGGTATGACTTCGGTTACACTGAAAAATTTGCACACATCTTTACCATTTGAGTTCTTGTGCTACTTAAAGAATATTATAATTACATGTTTCTAACGCAGTCGTTTTATTCTTAACGTTTCTGAATAGAATACTTTGGGGCAGAATTGCTTGTTTTTCCACATGTGTTTAGTTTTAGTACATACCTTTGAAGATTAAAATGTTTTCTCTCCTCACATTTTAGTATCAGTTGCTTAGTGCTTCTGAGAAGGGCTTTATCCTGATTCTCTTAAAGACTTGTAATGTGGGTGCCCAAGCAGTGGTGGCTGGAGGTATGTTTTAAGCAGGAATCAAAGCCGCAAAGGACCAGTTGAGGAAGATGAGCTTTGAACTTACTTAAACATGTGGTGTAGTTCCTCCTCTTTCTCCGTGTAGGGTAGGTGCTTTGTTCATGTTTGTGTGCAATGGTCCTTTCAATTTTAACTTTGGAAATAATCCACCAGTGGAGTTAGTGATGACCTGTCTGAACTTTGAGTTCCTTGATAAAGTCATTATCATAACCATTTTAATTGTTACCTGAACTATAGTGCTTTACTCCGCAAGGAGACAGTAGTCTGCTCTTCAAATCAGTAGCTGCTAGCGCAGACCGCAATTAAAGCCATTGTGTTTAGAAAGAGTTACATGTTGATCTGAGGATTAAAATGACTGTTCGAGTGGTTATTTGTGCTTTTACCGAATATTGCTACTTAGCCACCATGTTCACGTAGTGAACCCGATGGCGGATTCAGCCAGCCGTGTGCAGAGAAGATTCAGGTGAGAGGTGGAGTTTGTATGATTTGAACTAAGAATTAATTGCTCCTCAAATCTACCTGCTGATATCATATGCTCTTTTTTGCTGTCTTAGCTGCCCTGATTTTTCTATCATGATGTGCTGGGAGTAATCACGAACATGTGAGATTTCTCTGATTCCCTGTTTCCCTAGCTTGTAAGTAGCTTGAGGTGCTTCCTACTGACCCTTCCCTCTAGAGCCAAATGAGGATCTTTCTGCCCCTCCCGATTTTGTTTGGCTGGGAGCAGGGGAGAGGTGTCACGCTGATTGAGGGCACATAAGATGACAGGCTGAGAAGCAGTGTGTAATTGTTACATTCTTTAGGAAAATACATTGATTACTGAAATTTCTTTCTTTTCTTTTTTTTTAGGAAAACCACCAGCGTGTTAGCATTTTCTTTGACTATGCTAAACGGAGCAAGAACACCGCCTGGTCCTACTTTCTGCCAATGCTGAATCGCCAGGACCTCTTTACTGTTCACATGGTAACTACTGAATGGGTCAGATTTCTGATTTAGGGAAGAAACACACTCAGGACACTTTTGACTTGGTAACCTGCCACTTCCCAGAGGAGTGACTGCGCTGACGTTGACTTTTCAAAGCAGAATTTCCTTATTGGCATTTAGCAGTGCGGGGTGTTGGACTATCCGGGGAGCCAGGATTGCTCCGATACAGGTAAAGTTTTGTAGAGCATTTGATGAGATTGTCGGCATAAAAGCTTTTGGTAAATTCGTAAGTGCAAGCAGCTTTAGATTGTCTGTGACAGAGTTACCTGTGTTTTACTATGGAAATTTAAGTTTTGCTTTGAAGCAGCTGTTGTGTTTGGTTTTTATTTTAATTACTTAACTGCTTTTTAATCTCTTAAATACATTTCTGTCTTACACTGAGCCTGAAAGGCTGTCTTTGGAAGCCTCAGTACTGAGCAGTCTTTTGTGAAGTGTGCAGAAGGTGAGGGGGGGCGGTCAGAGGAGGAGTCTTTGTCCAGGCCGTTTCTGTCCCCAGCGTGCTGTGGGTGGCAGGGGGCTCCTGCCGCTGCGTTCAGGAACCACGGTCAGTGACCCAGTCTTGAGCACGTGCTTTCTCTCTCTCCCATGTACATCTGTGTTGTATGACTGTGCGCTGCTTGTGTTACACAACAGTTATGAAAGGAAATTAAGAAGGAAGACTCATGAAGCTAAACTATATTTTAAAGAGTATTTTTTAAAAACAGTGATGTATTTTCTTTCAAATGGTAGAGGCTTGTTTTCACTGTCTAGAAACATGGTTTAAACGTCTTCTGAATTTTGATGGTTTTGTACTGAAATTGACAAATAAGTTAAAGACCAAACATACGTTTAGGTACGATTCATCAGCAGTTATTGTGCAGCCAAATCCGTATTTTAATTTCTTTATGACTTCAGTTACTTTTGGCTAATCTTCCAAATTTTGAGGGTCAGGCTGTTGGGAGTTGAAGCTCGGAGACGGAACGCCAGGCCGGGTTTCCCTGTCTCTTCCCTTCTGCTTGTGCTCACGCTGCGGGTCAGGGTTTCCATCCCTGGTTTCCTTACGGGAATCCTCTCGTGCTACGTACCTATTTCGTGAAAGCGAGGTCTGCGTAAGCTAGATACGCGTCTGTGCGCTCACTCAGCGAGGCACATGGAGGCGTCCAGACGTCACTGCTCGGTGCGTGAGCCAGGCTGTGCCCCCAGCCTGCTGCCGAATCTGAGTTGCCTACGACGTGTGCTGAGCTCTGTCACCTGGCTCGGCTCTGCGCAGGTCTGAGGACAGACATCAGCGTGCTCTTGGTTAGCTGACCTCAGCCCTCTGCTCTCTACTACTGACCGGAGCTTTGAAACACTTGCTTACGGAAAGGACTGAAAGAGTATTCATTAAAGTGGGTTTGTGTTTTTGGGGAGGTGTTTATCTCTCTATATTTTTCCAGATTTATCAAAGTATAATTGACAAATAAAATTGTAAGATGTCTCACGTGTACAACATGATGATTTGATGAATGTATACTTCTGTTGCCTATTTAATAAGAAAAAGTTTATGATTTGTTTTACAGCTTAAAGAAAACTGAGAAATTTTTGAGTGAGGAGAAAGGGGTATTTGGTTGTATTGAGAGAGGTGGCTCTTTAATACTCGGGACATATTGTATACCAAGATACAGGTTTTTAAATGTGAGAACTCACGAGAGGCTTGAATGAACAACGTAGTGGCTGGCGGTTTGCTGTAGAGCTTGCTCAGAACTCTAGCAAGTGATGGTGAAAGTCTCTAAAGACGGTTTCTGTGTTCTTTGGATTTTTGTTGGTGTTATAATGAGTCCCAGTCTTACTTCTGAAACTCAGAGTAACGACGGGAATGCGATGAAATTCTTAGAACACAACTGATTTTGGTTCACTTCAGTGGAAATATTTAAAACTATATTTTGACCATATTAAAATATTTTAAAAAATGAAATGTAATCTATTATCTTTTGAGGAGTTGACTATTAAGAAAATGATGCAGCTGGGTTCTTACGAGTCCTGTTTTTTAAAGTCTGTGATGTGATTTGTTTTGAATCAGTATAGTGTCCAAATGTATTTCTTGTTTTTCAGGCAGCAAGAATCATTGCCAAGTTAGCAGCTTGGGGAAAAGAACTGATGGAAGGCAGTGACTTAAATTACTATTTCAACTGGATAAAAACTCAGCTGAGTTCGCAGGTAAAAAGACATTCCTTTTAGTATGTTTGAAAGGAATGTAACATCCATGTTCTCTTAAGCTATTTATGGTAATGTGAAATTACAAAGAAGGGGCGTTAAAGCGGTGCCGCCGCTTTGAGCTCGGTGAGTCAGTGCGCTGCTTGTCGGTCTGGTAGCTGTTTCACTTTCTCCTCCTTTGGCTTCAGCTCCGACCTTCCTGTCTCTTCTGCTTCGGCGGGCGGGGAGTGCTGCCGGGTCGCCCTGGTTGGAGAGCTGGAAGGACACACGGAGCTCCAAAGAGCACGCTCATGTGAGGCTCCTGGGAGGGCAGCCGGCGAGCGTGCAGGCGCTGGGGGCCGCCCGGATTTGTGCCAGATAGCTTGGTTTGGGGACAGTTCTCCGAAAGTTCCTAGTGGGGCCTGTGTGACCTCAGGTGTCCTAACCGGGTCAAGCTGTCTGACCAGTTACACCAGTGAACGGGCCCTGGCTGCCGCTGGGGAGTTTCAGACGGCAGCCAGCACGTTCCAGACCCTTCGTCAGCCCAGGGCCCTGGGCTCGGCCAGGGGTCCACACCCCACACCAGGCTTCCGGCGCCGCGAGGGGCCTGGGGCCGCTGGGCCGTGGGCAGCGCCCATCTAGCTTGGTGACTCGTCTCCTGAGTCCGCTGTCCCCTTGCGTCTCTGGGTTTGGGCCCAGAGGGAGGTGCTAAGCCTGCCCGTGGTTGCCTTGCTGCTCTCAGTCCTCTGCGTGTCCGGCTGGCGTCACAGTTGCAGGTGATACGTCTTCTGTGGTGTCTTCTCGGTCCCCAGAGCAGGGCAGGCGCCGGGACGCTTCTCACGGCCTGGTGGAGGGTGCCTTGCAGGCTTCCCTGACCACGTGCGACGTGGGGGGGGTCTTCAGGGAAGGAGTGAAGCGAAGCTGGTGGGGAGGAGGGCTCTGCGGGTGGGCCGGCGGGGCCGGCGAGGGGCCTGCTGGGGCCGGGCTGGGGCCAGGGGGCCGCGGGGTGTGGGCCGGGGGCAGCGGGGGTAGTTATGATGTCAGCGTTAGGTTGCAGATACGGGTCTCCTTGAGATAAGTTTGGGGGTGGTTGTAATTTAGGTCTCAAGTGGCTTTATTATTTCAGTGGATTTTAATTTGAAGTGTAAAGAGGCACCGTGACGTTTTGCTTGGATTTATTTTTGTCTTGTCGTGCCCTGCCTTTCTGGGGGGGAGCCCAGGAGCCTTTTATATTTGGTGAGAGATCCTGAAGTGAACAAAATTAGTGATTTTTTTCTGTCAAGAGCACACATTTTAACACTATTTCTGGCTTAGTTTTTAAAAGTAGTTTTTACAAGATCCTGAAGTTTGCAGATTTTGCTGAGTTGGTGAGGTATTTCAGAAATAAATTACTTAGAACATGAAAAATCGGTATGTTAAGATGAGATTTTAATTTCTAAATGTGTATCATTCGGACTCAGAATATTGAGTCAAATAGGCCGTCCGCCCCTTTGTTTTCCCTGTCTTGAGATTGGTCCTCCCTGGACAAACATCTCTGTGCTGCAGTGCGAGCTCCGTGCTGCGGTGGGGACCAGGCGCCGGTGGGCCTCGGAGGGCAGCGGGAGGCGCGCACGCTGCGGGCTGCTGCTGGCATTCTGTGTTGTTTCGTCTTAGACTCGGCCTCGTAGGAGTAACATCTACGCTGTGCCTCAGACGATTTGACACTTGTAGGGTGATTGGCTGTGGCTGTAACATGTCCAGCAGTTGGGGGATACTTCTCTGGTCACTAGTGGAAGCAGAGATTTCAAAGTCAGGACTGGCCGTTAGAATGGGGCTCCTGGGTCTGAGACACGGGCTCTCAGAGCCCGGTTCTGTCTCCTTCCTGTGCGCTCTGCCTCTGCCTCGCTCCATTGTGGTCTGGCACTCCTGCTTTGCAAGTCCTGCTCCAGGGAGACTCTGCAGGGCGCCCCGGCCCCTGCTGGCCTGGCTTCCGCTGGACTCTGGCTTGCTGTCTCTCTCGCAGTGGGCAGGCCCTTCTTCCACAACCTTTGATCAGGGTTAAATTACAGACCTCTTGTTTAAGGAACGAAACAGCATTGTTCTGGATTTCATTTTCTGCTTTGCTTAAATGTCTTGTGACAGCACTATGTCTGGAAGTCTCCTTTTCTCTATCGTAAGCGTTTTCTCCTTCATAAAAAGGGCCACATTTTCATAATCCTAATAGAAAATAAACTTTCAAAAGCCCAAATTAGTTGTAAATGAAGTGTGTTAAGCATACAGTTTGTTCTTTGACTTCACAGTGACGTCTAGGAGCCTTTTTTGGTAGTCTGAGCATTATACTTGGGTTACAGGGACTCATGCCTGGCACCTAGTAAGTGATAGTTACTGAATAAAACAAAGTAAAAAGTGCCTTTCAGAAATTCATTATCACTTTTCTCTCTCCTATCCAGCTTCTGATTTTCTACCTTGAATTTTCTTTGGTCATTTCTCTATAACATGTGAGGTTTTGTAACTTGCTAGCACTGCTGTGGATAACCTCAATTTTAAGTTCCATGTAATATCTTCCCATCAACAGTCACCTGCTTTGAAAGCTTTGCCATGGAATACAGTGTAGATGATTCAGCTTAACACAGTTGTCTAACTGGAAAAATCAGCTCAGAAAGTAAATCCTGAGACTTGGGGATTTGCACTAGCTTCACTTATGAACTATCTGGATGACTGTAATGGTGTTTAGAATATTTCCTATCATCCCCATGCCCTTTATTTGTTGATGATTCTCCACTAAGTAGGATTCGGAAAAAAATTATAAAATTTGCCTAGCTCCCTTTTGTAAGCTGATTGATTAGGATAAAGTTAAAAACAAAACTAAGTAATAAGTCATTTATTTCGTAATAGAAACTGCGTGGTAGCGGTGTCGCTGTTGAAACAGGAACAGCCTCTTCAAGTGATGTAAGTACTTTCTTTCTTAATTCACTGGCCTCCTGACGTCCTGAATAGAAGTTATTTTGAGTTGTAGACATTTACCATTTTGAGGATGTTTATTGGTTTCCCAATGTAAACCCATGGATTTGGTGTCCCCGCCATTGGTTACTGGCTCTGTGGAAGCTGTACGTGAACATGTCTGGTCTGGGTGGTCACTCTGCTGCTGGTGGACATGGGGTTTGTTCTCCCTGCTGCTCCCCTCAGGCGGGTGTATCTCAGACCTGAGGATCAGAGCAAGGGTCTGGCCTCAGAGGCACAACTGGAGGGAAAAATCAGACTTCAGCTGGGACTAGCATCAGAGGTGATGCCGAGTGAAGAGAAGGAGGCCTTTGATGGTCCACCTCTTCCCTTAGCGCCCTTCAGACCTGAGCACACCCCCTCTCTCTTCTGGAAGGCTCCTGCTTTTTCAGAAGGCTGTTGCCTTGGAAAGCAGACTGTGCTAAGTTGAGATTAGCCCTTTCTCTGACACTTGTGTCTCAGTGGGGGAGTCTGAATTGGCAGCTGAGATTTACTGAGCTCTTCTGTGTGCCTGGCGCTGTTTCACTCCTTTTGCATTTATGTGGCCTTGAGCATGCACACTCCCTCCCTGTCGTAGGACTTACCACAGGCCATATTTTAGGGATGAACAGTGAGGCCAGTGGGAAGGCCCACTGGCTTGCCCGAGGTCATCCAACTCGAGTGGCAAGACACCCAAAGAAACAAATGGCTTGCTGAGAGAGTTCAGAGGCACCGGACTAGACTCGGAGCTGCAGGCATCCCCACGGTGCATAGCCTGCATAGACTTTAAAGGAATACTGATATTTTATCTTGAAATTCCTTTAGGTTCTCAGAGAGCATGGGAAAGCAGTTTGCTAAGCTGCAGTGCATGCTGCTGCCACTTGATGGCAGTGTAACGCAGACAGAAAAGGCTTGATGCTGTACTGTGTGAAAAAGCGTGCTGCAGCGGTCTTGGCTTTCAGAACAGCCAGAGGCATAATCTCAGGTTCCCAGTCGGTCATTACAAACGTTTTTATTTAAATGACATCGTGTAAATGAAATTTTCCTAAAACGCACTGTGTGATTTTTACTGAAATATAAAAATACTAAACGACGTCGAAGTCCAGGTACTTGCCTTAAGGGCTCTGCTCAGGTCTCTGTTAGCCCTGGAGTGTGAACTATCCGTCTTCCTTTCTCCGGAGGAAGTCACGCAGCCTTGGAAGCTGGCTGTTGTGCTCATGCCCTGATGGAGAGGAGTCCTGTGGCCTCTGCGAGACTTTGGATTCTTTCTCCTCTGTCGTCTCCACTCTTGCCTGTGTTGCCGGGCTAGGTGATCCTTGTCGCTGGCTCTTGTAGGCCTGGCCTGGCGCTGGTTGCTGCTGGGTGAGGGTGGCCTCCCTGGCAGTGAGTAACGTGGCTGGGCTGCCAGGTTCTCCGTGTTGTTTATTTTCTTTTGCCGTTTAATGTTCTGGAGCGGTTCTTCCCAGTGGGATGTTCCGTGATGACGGCCCTATCCCTTACATTTGCCTCATCCACCGTGGCAGCCACGAGCCCCATGGGGCTGTGAGCACTTGGGAAGGTGGCAAGAGCAGGTGGGCAGGTAACCTGTCAGTTTGATGGAGGCTTTTTGGTTGGTTTGTTTACAGCTTTATCAAAATACATTTCTTATACCACACAATCCTTCCATTTGCAACTCAGTAGGTTTTTAGCATATTTACACAGGCTAATTTTATAGCATTTTCAGCACCTCGGAAAGAAACCCTGTCCACGTTAACAGTCACTCCTGTTCCTCATCCCCTCGCTAACCTCGGGCAACCACTGATCCACGTTCTGTCTCTGGATTTGCCTCTTCCGGTCCTTTCCAGTAATCGAGTCTCATAATACGAGCTCATTTCACTTAGCGTAAAGTTTTCAGGATTTATCCATGTTTTAGCACGTATGGCAGCATTTTTGAACAAGAGGGAAAAAAAGTAGCTATTTTGGCTTTTGACCTATTCCTTAAATTGTTTTCCGTGGCAATTCTAATCTTGTTAATGTGAGGTTAAGTATTACTGCTTTGACTCTGTTTTTAATTTAAGACTATATTTTTTAATTGAGGTACAGTCAGTTACAATGTGTCAATCTCTGGTGCACAGCACAATGTCCCAGTCATACATATACATGTATAAATTTGTTTTGCTATTCTTTTTCATCAAAGATTATTATAAGATACTGAGTATCTTGTAATTGAATACCCTGTGCTCTAGAGAAGAAACTTTTTTTAAAGTCTGTTTTTATATATAGTGGCTAACATTTGCAAAATTTAAGACTTTTCAGTTTTTCAAAAGAGATGGAGTACTTTAATGATTTAGTTCTTTACTGTTTTTTTTTTGAAATGGAGGTGCTGAGGATTGCGCCCAGGACCTCGTGCATGCTGCGCGTGAGCGCTCCCTGTGCGCTCGGGGCCTCACACATGCTGCACATGCGTGCTCCCTGTGCGCTGCACTGCTGCGTGCCCCGCACTGTGTGTTGATAAGTGCATGGAAAGTGCTGCCCAGATAGCTGGGGTGAGGGGGCCGCGTCAGGGATGCATACAGTGCAGGCCTGTTATTTGCCTGTAGTTTGGCTGGTGAGCTGTAAAGGGTGAGGACCCAAAGAAATTCACAGTCAATTCCATGTCTTCGCAGGTTTCTAGAGCATCGTTATGTACCTAAAGCAATTCTTGGGCGATTTTCATCGTTCAATTATCCTTTATCTTCTTACCACAAAATTAATGTCTTAAACTTTGGGGATCATTAAAATATATGCAAAGAATGAATATTAAGAAAAAGAGGAGATAAGAACCTACGAGTTTTGTTTTTCTGATTGGATATTTGGAAGGACTGCCTGGATGAATATTCTGGCAATGAGAAGGAAAATTAAATGGTAGAGAATTTCAGTACAGAGCATTTTCAAAGTATAGCTTCAAAGCAATAATAAGGTAGCCTGCTACTGTGCATTAGGTGTGTTCTTGAAACTTGTATACAGAGCAGTAATTTATACAGTAAATCACAGTTTCTTAAGTCTGCAATAATTTTTTCCTATAATGAAGAATCCCAGTAGTGATGTAATTAAATTACATGACTAAACAAATTAGATTGAAAGCGATACTTGAAGGAGATTTATAAACTTGTAAATTAATAGTGAAATTGCTTTTTTGGTTAAGACTGAAGTCTAACACTAAATTATCCTAAGTTAATTTAGGTCTTAATTTAATATAGGTATTTTATGAGTATTAACTAGAGGGTCTCTTTTAGTAAGCCAAGTTCAAGGGAATTCTTGCACTGTATGTGTTTTCGTTCTGATTTTATGAGGTAATAGTAATAATAATAACATACCTTACAATTGTTGTGTTTATGGAAACTGATCTGAGTGGCAGAGGTTTGTTCTTTTTTTTAATTTGGTAAGGCTGGTGTTGTTTTCCTTTACTGAAACAACAGTTTTGAAGAGTTTAAGTGATTTGCCAGAGATAATTTGTCAAACCTCTCTCCTCTTTGCCTCCTTTCCCTTTCTTTGGTCATTAAAAAAAAATGTCATAGCTTTGCCGGGGAGGAAAAAATTACCCTGCCTTTTCTAGGTTCTTCTGGCTGGTCTAAGAATTAAATTGATGGGAGTCAGATTAACAGGAGAAAATCAAATTTAAATGTGTACGTTCGGGGCTGTGTAAGAGTATGAGGCCCCAGGGCAAATTAGATAATTGAGGCTTACATGGCCTCTGAGCGAAGGAGAAGGGGTGGGGTCGGCGACTTCAGCGGGGGCGGGGGGTGGGGGACAGCTGTTCACACGGAGATGGAAAAGCAAATGTTTGGTAAACAAGATGTTTGCTGGGCGGTGCAGGGACATGGGGCACAGAGAGGACTTGGTCTCCAGATCCTGTCTCCCACCTTTCCTCTTCCTCCTCTAGATCGTGAGCCTTTGCTGGTAGGACCGGGGTGTTTTGTTCACGCTTGTGTGCCCGGTGCAAGCACAGCGTCTGGCACGTAGTCATCACTCGATAAATGTTTGTTGAATGAATCCTGAGTTCAGAGCCTTTCTGGGGAACAGCTGAGAACGGGGGATGACGCAGGCCTCGTGCCCTGGGTTCAGTTCTGACGGTGCAGGTGGTCAGGGTGGCGCTGTCCAGCAGCGTCCTGGCGCCGCAGCGGCAGACGGCCTCCTCACCTGGGTGGTAACAGGCGCAGTGTGTTTGCAAGCAGAACGGAGCTCCTCCTGCGCCCCAGGTGACGTTACCAGCCCAGTAAGTGCTGATGAATTCAGGAACGCTTCTTCAAAGTTGAGAGCACCATGGTTTTGAAATCTTTGTATAGATGAAGTTGTTAAAAATGAAGTAGCTCTCTAAGTATAAGATTTATTAAATGAAAACAGAAAGTTACAAGTCAATGTTTAAAAAAGAAAAGACATGCATATAGTGTGTAGAACATTTCAGCATTGTTAAGAGTGGCTGATCTGAGGAGTGGTACTGAGGGCTGGAGGGAGTTGATTTTATGCTGTCTGTGCCAATAGGGTATTTATTGTAAATAATGTCTAGAGCATCTCATGTAAAATTCAGGTCAATAAAAACATGCACAAGTGTTAACAAGGCCACATGCTACTTGCAGGTCATACTTGTAGTTTATAACTGGTCCGAACACCCAGAAGCTGTGGTGTTGGCACCCTCGGGGCGTTCTTCGCAGAGGGGTTGGGGAGAGCGGGAAGAGGCCGCCGGGGGGGGGGGCCAGGCCTGGGGCGGCTTGGGAGGCGCTGGGCTGCTCTTCCGGGCGTGACTCTCTCTCGTGGCACTTGGTTTGGAAGGAGCAACATTTGAACACCTCGAACGCCACCTCCTCAGTTTGCTGGTTCTTGGCCTCGTCTTGTAAGGTAGACTGTTTGTCTGCCTTTCAGTTCTCGTTCACTTTGCCTTTGTTGGAAATCTTGTGAGATTTCAGTATTTTCTGTGAAGTACATTTCAGAAGTCATATGGCCTGCTAGCAGGGCAGGAAGTTGTAGCGAGAGAGGAACGTGTGCAGCAGGGGAAGCTCAGGCCCGGTGTCTGCCCTGCGCGCTGTGGAGGGTCGGGCGCTCCTGTGTCGCTGTCGCGGCAGCTGGCTTCGGGGGAAGGGGGCGTGCACCTGGGGACCTCTCTACTTTGTCCTTTTCTGCCAGCAAGATGCAGTTTGAAAAACAGGCAAACAAGAACGACTTCATCTGGACGAAATGCATCTTAAAACTTCAGGTTCTACTTTTTTTCTTTGAAAGCCAAATGGCAAAATAGAAAAAAATCCCATCAAGTGAAGCAAATATTCATTCTTCGTTTAACAAACAAACAGTGAAAACTGCTGTGATTTATCAGGGACTGTACCTGGTGCTGAGACTAAAAAAGGCTTCTCTTCTGCTCTCTGGTGTAATGGGGGTGACTGATCTCTCACACGGACACACACACGCACACACACACGCGCACACACACTCAGGGCGGGACTGGAGACTGCCGGGTGGCGCCACAGGGCTGGGAGTCCCGTCTGAGAAGCCGGACCACAGAGGCAGGCGCAGCCGCGGACGTTGTCGGGTGTGCTGTGCCAGGTCCCGCTGAGAGCCCTTCCCTGTGCTAGCGGTGAGATTAGCCCCACAGTGTGGGACCTGCCCCTGTTTTCCCTGTTCTATAGGCAGGAAGCTCATTCAGGGTCACCTAGCTTGGAAGTGGCCGAGTGTGGCAGGCTGCTTCCAGAGCCTTTGTTCGTAGCCATTACGCTGCGTTACTACCTTTCGCGTGTGGTGGAGGAGGTGACATTCGGTCTGAGACTTGCAGCTGGAGCGTCAGTTCAGCTGGAGAGAGCAGGGGGAAGGGCTTCCAGGAAGCAGCTGGAGAGAGGGGTCTGGTTCTCAGGTGAGAGAGGAGCTGTTGGAACTGGCAATTGAAGGTCACGGGTGACCTCAGCATTTGCCATGTTAGTGGGCGATAAGAAATTAGGTAAGAATTTGGTGATAGTTCTTTCAAGAAACCTTCATATATTGGGAGGAAGAAAGATGCAGAGATTGGCACAAGGTTTAGGGATAATGTTCAGACGGGAAGGACTGAGTACGTTAAGGTGCTGAGGAGAGGACACTGATGAGCAGGGACTGAAGATGCAGGAGAGGGGTCTGAGTGGTGGAGCGGCGTGTCGGGGGGGGGTGCAGACCTTGCTGGGGCTGCGGGTCCTGGCAGGAAGCAGCCTGCCTGCGGTGAGGGAGGGGTGAGTGGCCGCCAGCGTAGCTCTGTTTGAGGGGTGAGATGTTGGTGGCGGAGCCAGTCTCAGGATTTTCCTCCTGCTGCTGCGAGTAAGGGGGTAGGACAGGAGGACAGAGGGGAGGGTGTGAGGGCTCCGGGGGGGCCGAGAGGAGTGGTCACACAGCCTTGCACGACTGCGCAGCGTTCCCCAGCAGCGCGTGAGCTGTCTCTGTGCGGAATTAGATTTGGTGACTGGTTGGATTGATCAAAGGCTGATTATTTTCTTTTGAAAAAAATAATTGAATAATTTTATGTGTGAGACCAATAGGACAGTGTGAGCGAAAGCCAAGGGACTGATACAGTCGTTCCCCAGTATTGCCTTCACTGTATATTTTGAAAATAATTTCTGGAATGGTGTATGGACTGCCCCCTGCAGTGTAGGAGGAGAGAGCAGTTTTAGCACCAGCGTCTTGTATGTGCTCGACTGTAATGTGAATCCTGAAGCCATAACTAACAACGAAGAATTCATTTTTAGAATGCGTCGTGTGTTTCAGCATAGTATGGTGAATGGATACAGAGAAGAGGACCTACAGTGAACCGGGGGGTTTCTGTGTGAGAGGAGGTCAATAATAAATGGGAGAGGAAAGGGTGCCCTAGGTGGCCTTTTTACTCATTTCGTGTGGAAACCGAGCTAAGGCTCTCTCTCCAGACAGATAGATGGAATCCTTTCACAAAGGACTCCTTACCTGATGACTTAATTGGAAAAATACCTGTGTATTTTTTCCCATTATGGAGGATTGTTTTAGAGCTGAAATTTCACCTTTTGTGGTCATTAATTTCTGCTAATGTTTTGAGTTTTCAGGCAACTTATATTACTGGTTATGTGGTATTTTGGGCAACTGTGTTCACTACTTTGTAGGTAAAACCTAAGACAGCCTGTTTATGAGAACTTTTGATTTTTTTCCACCAAATATACTTATATCATTGTGTTTTTGTGTTTGCGTGCCTGGAATTTCTCTGAAGTGTTAAGTTTCAACAAACTTAGTTTAAATTAAAACATGAGACTTAAGGAGCATCAGGTGTGTGAGGTTTTGTGAATTTATCTAACATCCACCATCCTCTCCTTTCTTTTTTCTTTTTGTTAGCAAGTTCTTTAAGGCTAGCGTCCTCTTGTCCCCCCATTTCTTGTAGATGCAAGTACTTAGTGACCAGCCCGGGCCAGGTGTCTCTCCCAGCTTGGCTGACACTGAGGAGCCTGAAACTTCCTGGGGATGTTTATTCGTGTTTATTGTGAGCTTCGGATGTAACCTCAGTTTCTCTAAGATGGTGCTGTCAAACTGATAGTTTAAAAAATTCACAGTCTTTATCAAGTGTTTAGTTAGACTTTTTATATGCTGTATGTTCTTTTTTAAGTTCTTACTGATTCAGTTTCTATGGAATGTCTCGGCTCTAAGCTGAATGAATTACTTGACTTAACCCTAAGCCACCCTTTCCTGGTGCTTGCAGTGTCATCCTGCTTAAGGATGGAGAAACGGAGTATTGAAAAGGTTCAGAAACATGCTCAAGGTGGTTCAAATAAGGGCCTGTCTCAAAGTATACGCTTCTATCTTACTCTTTTTGTTGTTACTCTTTGATACTTGTATAATGTTGAAGAGCCGTATCTCTGTAGAGCGCCCCCTTCCAGGGGTAAGTGACACCTTGCCAGATAAGCTGCTCATCAAACCGCATCAAAGACCTAATGAGTTTGATCCTTGATTTCCCTAACACCAAGTGTCCAATGGGCTTGAACCTTGTAGGCTTGATTTGGCAGAAAAAGCTTCATTTCTAAGTGGTGGCGGGAAGAGCAAAAAGGAGGATTGACTTTTGAAAAAAGTATGAGAGACGTTTGGGTTCTGATGGTAAGAAACTCTCGGTGGGAAATTCCAGAGTTTGGCATCCGCGTGCCGCGTGCCTCTCGGTACGCCCGGTGTTAAGCCCCGTGCTTCTCCCGCGCAGAGCTCCCAGCACGTGCAGTGCGTGGCCGGCTGTCTGCAGCTGATGCTTCGGGTCAACGAGTACCGCTTTGCCTGGGTGGAAGCAGACGGGGTAAACTGGTGAGCGCCTTTTGACTTTTCATGTGGAAGAACGTTTAAAAGTGTCTCTCCTTGACGTTTTCAAAGAAACTAATACATTTAATTATTAAAAAGAAGGGTTTTCTTCTTTTTGTTTTTTTAAACTATCTTCCATGAGGTTTCTGCCCAGAGACTTAGGACCCACGGTTTTCACTGGGGGTGTGTCAGGTCGGCCCCCGCCTCGCACGCAGATCACTGCAGACTCCAGGAGGAAGGCAGGTGCTCAGCGTAAACACGAGCACATTGTTTGTGCAGACCGTCTAGGTGCAGTGAGCCACCCTGCCATTAAGGAGAAGTTTCGTTTCCATGTGGGGAACTGTTTACCAGTCGAGTTCCCAGCAGCCAGCCAAGGGCCAGCTTTGTAAGCAGGCCTCTCCAAGGAAAGCTGTCTCAGGACCATGATGTTAATAACTCTTTTCTGCACGGAAACCTGAAGGCAGACCACAAAGATGGTGTTTCCAGTCTTTACCTGCTTAAAAGTGATGCAGTATTTGGGGCAATGCGATAAGTATTGTAAATTCTTAATTAATAAATAATACTTACTTCACTATTATATCATCTTCCTAGATGAGTCCAGCAGTCTCCAATTTCCTCATCATTTTAGTCTTTAACATTTTCTAGCAGAATTGAGAAAAAGAATGAATAATGATAAATAGTATCTGGCATGATGAAACAGTGTAATTCTTCAAATTATAGTTAACAGAATCACCAAGATCTCATAATTTATCTTGGTTTGTAAATGGGTCCAATAGACCTGTATTGTAATTGGAAGATAAATTGAATTTTATTGTATTTAACAAAAAGTAGCTTTTCTTTTTGTTCTTTGGAAGACCTGTAAGAGCGTGAAAGTCATGAAATGGCAGTTTCTACAAATAGTGACAGTTACCCAAAATATAAACTCAGATGCAAGAATTCGGCCCAGTGGACCCGGATGGTAAACTGAGGGTAACCAGATGCTGCTGTTTTGATCCTTGGCACTGGCAGCCTGGAAGCCGGCGAGCAGTATTAACCATTCAGTCCAGCCGGAAGAGCAGGCGGAAACGCAGTCTGGAGTAGTCCATGTTCAGCCTGCACTTCTTGATACGCTAATAACCACTGCCGAGGTCAGCCGTGATCTAATTAAGAGGCTTGTAGGTTGAGAACAGGCATTAAGAAAGGTGTAATATGCTAACTTGCCGGTAGCTGAGCAGTTTAGGAAAGTCATTTAATTTTTTCATTTTTAAAGAAATCAAACATATACTTTGCTGTTTCTTTGTTTAGGATTGAAAGTTCCCTTTTTTTCCTTCTTTTTTTGCCTTTTTGGTACTCCTCAAATCACAAAGCAGGGATCACGGGAGGAGGGAAAAAACTGAAAGGAGAGAACTGGTGGTGTAAGACCCCAGGACATCGGGGTCTTAAGAAAGAGAGCAAGGACGTAATTGAGACTGTGTCCTTAGTGTGGAAAGAAGAGTCGCTACGCGTCTTCCGCGCTGTGCCGCCACCCTAAACGTCTCCTCGGTGTGTGCTCCTTTTCAGCATCATGGGAGTTTTGAGCAACAAGTGTGGCTTTCAGCTGCAGTATCAGATGATCTTTTCAGTGTGGCTCCTGGCGTTCAGCCCTCAGATGTGCGAACACCTGCGGCGCTACAACGTCATCCCTGTGCTGTCCGACATCCTCCAGGAGTCCGTCAAAGAGAAGGTGACCAGAATCATCCTGGCCGCGTTCCGCGTAAGTGTCCTGTGCAGCTGCTTACGGTGTGTGTGCGCGTGTGAGGCGTTGTTGCTGTGGAGCATTGGGGGCTTTCAGCAGGGGGGCGCAGCTGCGTGTTCCCCGTGTGGTGGTGAAACTGCGTCCTGGTGGACGTGGGGTCGGGTGTCCCTGGTCTGTGCTGGTGCGTCGGGGAGGGTGGACCGGAGGAGGCCGCTCAGAGGGGAGCCTGGGAGGTGCCAGTGTCACTGTTACCTCCTTGCTTGTGTTCCAAGAGGCTGTTACTGAGTTTTTTCTCCTGTGGGCCCTTGTTTTAGCGTGGAGTTGTAGTTCAGGTTCTGGGTCTACTGACCAGCAGCGTGTTTCTGAGGAAACTATAAGCATCTATTGATGCTTTTTGAGCAGTAAAGTGATCCTGTTAGGATATCAGAATTTTGGCAGTGACCTAAGTCAACGTCTCCACTTGAACAGACGAGAAAGTGGAGGATGCTTTTACCTACGGGGACACTGGGGCAGAGGGGGCGCGTGGCTGGAAGATGGTGGACATACAGGTGCAAGCTACTGGCTTTGGAATTTGTGCTTTAAACTGTTACTTGTTCTTTGCTTTCTTTAAATAAACAACAATGACAAGTCAAAAATAAAAACTAGTACAGATGTATTGCAAATGTAAATAGCAGTCTTCGCACTTGCCAAATATAGTCACTAACATCTTTTGGATTTTTCTAAGCACACAGAGATAAATATATAAGTAGGTGTATCATTTTGTTTTGTATTTAAAAATAAAAGGGGTATCATTATAAATGCTGTTCTGTAGCTTTATTCTTAGAAGTATGTAAGGAATATATTTTCATTTTCCTGTGGTAGATCTTCAGTGCTCTTTTTAATGGCTGCATTCTGCTGTGTTCATGTAAAGTGGTTTATTTAACCAGTATCTTGTTGATGAAAATGCGAGGTGTTTCCAGTTTCTCTTACACGTTTGCCCACTTGAGTGAGTATTTCTGTTGGGTAAGTTCCAAAGGTGGAATTGCTAAGTTGAGGAATATAGTTTTTTTTATAGTTTTGACAATTAAATATCACATCACCTTTCAAAACTGCAAATTTACGTCTCTATCCACTATATATCGAGGGTGCATATCTTTCCATTCTTTTGCATCAATGTTATCTTTTAATTGGGTTTAGGAAAAGCTTCAGGGAGGAGAGGGCTGGAAGAGGCTTGTGAAGGTTGCATCGGAGTCTCAGATCTGCAGAGGTGGAGGGAGCTTGATAAACGTTACCCAGTGAAGAGAGAGAGGACCTTCTGGGGTTGTCAGGGGTTTGTTCCTGAGGAGGGACCCATCCCTGCCCCTCCGTCCACACTCCCCCCGCCCCCGCCCCTGAAGGGAGCCTTAGGGGAGTAGAGGGGGCACGTGGCTGGTGAAGATGCAGTCCTGGTGTTTGTGGCCGTTTGCTTTCTGAAGGAGTAGACTTTGGCTCTGCTGACCTGTGCTGCCGTTTGGGCGTTGAACTGGTGGGGCCAGTCGGGATCCATTACTGACCGCCCCTCTCGTGGGCCATCACCCACCAAGGCCTGGTGCCTTCGAGTAAGACTGTCAGACCTAGCTAGGTCTTTTTTTTTAATCATTCTCAAAGCCCTGTAACCTTTAATAAAGATTTCCCTGCTGAGGTTTTTGAGGATTGTCTGTTGGGACTTCCCCCCGTCCTGAAGCTCAGGAAGGAAGTTCTGTGCTGGAGACTGCCGGAAGGTTGCTGAGCTGCTGTGAGCTGAGGAAACCCAGCAGCTGTTTTTTGTTTTTTTTCCCATTTGGCTGGGTGAGTTTTGTTTTTGAAAATGTCAGTCTCACTTACTCATAGCCGGGGCTGACACTCCAGGTCCCCGTAAATGTTATTCCATCGGTGACACTGATGTGTCAGTTGCAGTTTCAAAAATAATGTGAAGTGTTCTGAGGCTGTGACTGGGAGAGACTCTGAAGACCGTATTCGTTGTCTGCAGGTTTACATCTGTTGTGGGCATTTCTTCTCTTTTAACTCTGCTTATAGTCAAGAGCCTCTGTAATAGGTCAGGTGATAAAATTATATTTTACAACTGCATGGTTTTCAGCAGAGAGGCTTGGAAAGAAATAACCACCAGATCGAATGTGGATTTTACATTCGCTGTATTAGCCATGATGTTTAATTCACCCCCCCCATGCGCACACAGACACAGACGAGCACGTGCTCCCGTCTCCCTGTGCAGGCAGTTCATGGTCATAGCCTTTCACGAGGCTGCCTCTAGTCTGGGCACGTGGGACCGTTCTGCCCACTGCTTTGACATGGAAGTATTGCTGTCAACGAGTTTTATTCCTAAGGCTGTCCCTCGTTCCCTGTTTTAGGAATTTACCTGTCTGCTCATTAGATGCCAGGTTTGGATGAGGTCTGGAAAGAATGAGACGTTTTAAATCTTGGGGGGAGAGCTTTAACACAGCACTGCTTCAGGTGTGGTCTGTGTGTCTGTGCAGTGCTGTGAGCTGTTGGTCACAGCCTGCAGGAGGCAGATACGGGAGGTGAGCGTGCACGTGGAGAAACTTACAGTAAGTTGACGTGCCTGTCAAGTTTGATGATACAAAATTTGAGTTCATATTTTGCATGTCTTTTTGAATTCATTTCTCTAGGAATTCTTTTTTTTATTAAGAAAATTTGGGGGGGCAATTAGGTTTCTTTATTTTTTAAGTGGAGGTACTGGGGATCGAACCCAGGACCTCGTGCATGCTCAGCACATGCTCCACCACTGAGCTATACCCTGCCCCCTAAAAGTTCTTTTTTTATTGGAATTTCTTAAAAGCATTTTGTTCGTGACTGATTGGAAATCAAAAAACAAACAACACTGGTCTCCTCCGCAGCTGGTTTGAGAAGCGCTGCTTGCCACGTGTTTTACAAGGTTAGCAGCTGTGCTGGAGGAAGGATCTGAATTGTCACTTGGTTCCCCCTTGTCCTCGGTGAAGTCCAGACCGCTTGGCACCATTGCCTGGACA